GTACAGGGAGCACACCACCCCCCTGTTGCGTCAGCTCCACTGGCTGCCGATCCAATTCCGAGCACAATTTAAAGTGCTGGTTTTGACCTATAAACCCTATACGGTTCCGGCCCAGTGTATTTGTCCGAACGGATCTCCCTCTACATCCCATCTCGAAATTTAAGATCGTCTGGGGAGGCCCTGCTCTCAACCTCGCCACTATCACAAGTGAGGTTGGCGGGGACGAGGAGCAGGGCCTTCTCAGTGGTGGCCCCTCACCTGTGGAACTCACTCCCCGGGGAGATTAGATCAGCGACTTCCCTTTTGGCATTCAGGAAAAAACTGAAGACCTGGATATGGGACCAAGCTTTTGGACATTCCGGCAGCTAAGGGAAGATCTGACGATAAACATGGGCGAATGGAATGGAATGGATATACGGAACTCTGAACACTGAGCATGAGATTGTTTTGCTATTTTATTATGTACTAATGTTTTTAACTTGTTAACTGTTTAAATCGTTTTTAGGTATTGTTTGTTTATTGATTCAGGCATCGAATTGTGCCTTTGTTTGTAAGCCGCCCTGAGTCCCCCCTCGGGGGTGAGAAAGGTGGGGTAGAAGTAATTGAAATAAATAAATAAATAAATGTTCTCAGCCTATCGGCAACTCAAGGCGGTTTACAACAAGTCAGTACAAATAATATCAAAATACAAAATAAACGCTAAAAATAATATAAAAACCACAACAGAATCAATAAAACCAACATCATCATTATTGTCTTCTAGTTAAGAACATTGTCCAATTCCATTGTCAAGTGATTCCAGTTCCTATATCAGTTACTCTGCATTTGTAAACGCTTGCTCAAACAACCATGTTTTAACTTGGTTTTATATAATTTTGAGAACAGGACTTACCTTGAAAATTGTTCTTAAAGAATTCCACAAAAAATAAAAAGTATGGCAGTAGTGTGATAAGTATAAATGCTATATGCATGCAGCATTGTATGGAGACCTACTACATCATCAGCATTCATTCATAGTAAGACCACAAGTATTACAAACATCAGACATCTGGGCTCAACATAACAAAATCAAAATATAGAGTGAAGCTTAGCCCTCCTTCCCAGGATACAAAAATCCATGTATGTTCAAATCCCATTATAGTAATTATAGCAAAATGATGGCATAATCAAGACTTGCTTGGGGGGGGGGGGGGGTTAAAATGTTTTCAAGCTGTGGATTTGTGAATCTGTAGATACAGAATCCTTGGAGGGCCAACTGTGTTTAAATTTGATCACAGAATGCATATAAAGGTAATAAAAATTATGAGGCCTAGTTTGGAAACTTCTTTTTAAGAATTACTCTAGTGATCATAGAATCATAGAATCAAATAGTTGGAAGAGACCAAATGGGCCATCCAGTCCAACCCCCTGCCAAGAAGCAGGAATATTGCATTCAAATCACCCCTGACAGATGGCCATCCAGCCTCTGTTTAAAAGCTTCCAAAGAAGGAGCCTCCACCACACTCCGGGGCAGAGAGTTCCACTGCTGAGGCTCTCACAGTCAAGGTTCTTCCTCATGTTCAGATGGAATCTCCTCTCTTGTAGTTTGAAGCCATTGTTCCGCGTCCTAGTCTCCAGGAAGCAGAAAACAAGCTTGCTCCCTCCTCCCTGTGGCTTCCTCTCACATATTTATACATGGCTATCATATCTCCTCTCAGCCTTCTCTTCTTCAGGCTAAACATGCCCAGTTCCCTAAGCCGCTCCTCATAGGGCTTGTTCTCCAGGCCCTTGATCATTTTAGTCGCCCTCCTCTGGACACATTCCAGCTTGTCAATATCTCTCTTGAATTGTGGTGCCCAGAATTGGACACAATATTCCAGATGTGGTCTAACCAAAGCAGAATAGAGGGGTAGCATTACTTCTAGATCTAGACACTATGCTCCCATTGATGCAGGCCAAAATCCCATTGGCTTTTTTTGCCGCCACATCACATTGTTGGCTCATGTTTAACTTGTTGTCCACGAGGACTCCAACATCTTTTTCACACGTACTGCTCTCGAGCCAGGCAGTCCCCCATTCTGTATCTTTGCATTTCGTTTTTTCTGCCAAAGTGGAGTATCTTGCATTTGTCACTGTTGAACTTCATTTTGTTAGTTTTGGCCCATCTCTCTAATCTGTCAAGATTGTTTTGAATTCTGCTCCTCTCCTCTGGAGTATTGGCTATCCCTCCCAATTTGGTGTCGTCTGCAAACTTGATGATCCTGCCTTCTAACCCTTCATCTAAGTCATTAATAAAGATGTTGAACAGGACCGGGCCCAGGACGGAACCCTGCGGCACTCCACTTGTCACTTCTTTCCAGGATGAAGAGGAAGCATTATGAGCACCCTCTGGGTTCGTCCATTTAACCAATTACAGATCCACCTCACCGTAGTTTTGCCTAGCCCACATTGGACTAGTTTCCTTGCCAGAAGGTCATGGGGGACCTTGTCGAAGGCCTTACTGAAATCCAGGAACGCTACATCCACGGCATTCCCCGCATCTACCCAGCTTGTAACTCTATCGAAAAAAGAGATCAGATTAGTCTGGCATGACTTGTTTTTGATAAATCCATGTTGACTATTAGCGATGACCGCATTTGTTTCTAAGTGCTTGCAGACCACTTCCTTAACAATCTTTTCCAGAATCTTGCCTGGTATCGACGTGAGGCTGACAGGACGGTAGTTGTTTGGGTCGTCCTTTTTTCCCTTCTTGAAGATTGGGACCACATTGGCCCTCCTCCAATCTGCTGGAACTTCTCCTGTTCTCCAAGAACTCTCAAAGATGGTTGCCAATGGTTCCGAAATGATGTGCGGAATCCATCCATATCTGGGCAGTAATGGGGGAATGTGCTAGGTTCCAGTTACGGATGACCTATGCATGCCATTGTAGTCATTCTTATAGAAAAAAAACCCTTCTGATTTCTTGATAAAAAAGACAGAAAGCGAAGTACACTGTCCTGTACAACTTGGAGAGATGACAGGATACAAATAAGAGCAAGAAGTAAAGATCCAATCAGCTATGAAAGAATTAGCAACTGAGAATCTTCAGTTTCTCTACACAATTGCAGCTCTATGAACGTCTGCGAACCTCCACAGCATCAGATGAAGAAATTCTCCATATCATGAGACACTGTTGGGAGGATAACCACTCCCTTTTGTGTCCTCACACTGCTACTGCTGTTTGCTACCATTACAAGCACTCAGATTGCCATCCAAACAGGTAAGGATTTATCTGTAAAAAAAAAACTAGACCCTCTGCAGGATCGACATGCATGCAACAATATGTAACTTCTCTCAAAAGCTGGAGCTACATTGCCCTATTTTCCCAGCAGACACTGCTGGCTGTTGAATTGGATCACACGTCGGACAGTTTCCAAGTGTCTAGGACTGTGTGATGTATCTACGAATAATGCGTGCATATCCCAGTAAGGTGGCCTTCTGCAGCTGGCAGATGGTAATTTTGTCAGCGCCGATTGTGTTTAAGTGCAGGCCAAGGTCTTTAGGCACTGCACCCAGTGTGCCAATCACCACTGGGACCAACTTTACTGGCTTGTGCCAGAGTCTTTGCAGTTCGATCTTTAAATCCTCATATTGTGTCAACTTTTCCAGTTATTTCTCTGCAATCCTGCTATCACCTAGGATTGCAACATCGACAATCCATACTTTGTTTTTTAACACGATTGTGATGTCAGGAGTATTAGGCTCCAAAACTCTGTCTGTCTGAATCCGAAGGTCCCGGAGAAGTTTGGAGTGTTAATTCTCTTCAACTCTTTCCGGCTTGTGATCCCACCAGTTCTTTGTCACAGGCAGATGGTATTTGTGGCACAAGTTCCAATGAATCATCTGAGCAACAGTGTTATGCCTCTGCTTGTAGTCTGTCTGCGCGATCTTCTTGCAGCAGCTGAGGATGTGATCTATTGTTTCATCTGCTTCCTTGCAGAGTCTACATTTGGGATCTGTTGTTGACTTTTCAATTCTGGCTTTAATGGCATTGGTTCGAATGGCTTGTTCTTGGGCCGCCAAAATCAGGCCCTCCATCTCCTTTTTCTGAGTTCCATTTGTGAGCCACAGCCATATTTCTTCTTTGTCAATTTGGCTCTCAATTTTTGCCAGAAACTGTCCATGGAGTGCCTTCTTTTGCCAGTTTTCTCTTCTGCTCCGGATTGTGTTTTTACAGTATTCCCTCTTTGTCTTTTGCACTTGAAGCAGTTTACTACTATATTATTATTATTATTATTATTATTATTATTATTATTATTATTATTATTATTATGTTTATTTATACCCCACTTTTCTCTACAACAAGGAGACTCATTTACCAAGGAGATTATTATCGTCGAAGGCTTTCATGGCCGGAATCACTGGGTTGTTGTAGGTTTTTTTTCAGGCTGTATGGCCATGGTCTAGAGGCATTCTCTCCTGACGTTTCGCCTGCATCTATGGCAAGCATCCTCAGAGGTCGTGAGGTGAGATTATTATCATTTATCAAGGAGTGTAGCAAACAAGAAATGTCTACATAGGATACAAGATAATATATATACTTCTCCATGCTTTCCAAGTTTTGATTACTCAGCCAAAGCTTGGAAGATCAAACTTAAGAGCCAAATGCGACCACATCAAACCGAGGATCGAGCTCCTATTCCTTTAATAATTGTGTAGAAGAGGGAAGTTCAGCAGGTTTCGCTTGTCATGCGAGGTGTAGCTTGTATCACTTTCCCAACTACTATTAAAGATGTAGAGATCCTTTCCACATCTTCATGTGGTTACTTGATCATACAGCTTTATAGCAACAAAAAATGTGACTTTAACTTGGGGTTAGTTGAGTGATAGTGTCTATCAGCCACAGAGTTAATGTTTGGGCAGAGCCATAAAGGAGTGAGATCATGCAACCTCTGACCAATTTCCAAGGCAAGAGTTTCTTATAAAAAGGAGGTTGGTTTGCCTTCCCTTAAACCAGTCTCCTTTACTGTTGAGCATCAAGAGATTATTACTAAAATGAGCTTCCCTGGAAAGTATGAACTCCAAACTCATGAAAACTTTGAGCAATTCATGAAAGCAATTGGTAAGAGGGGTTTTTTGTGAGTGATAAATTATTATAAATGATAAACAGTTGTGCTTGTTTTTAATTTTTCTTCCCTACCTATTAGGGTTGATTCTATTCCTCAGTCTATTTAAAAGTGTTGAAATTAAATAATAAGTAGTAAAAATGTGGTTGAGAGGTCATGTTTCTTTGTTTTAATACACAACTTAAATATTGGGCTCTTACCTGATGTTGCCCGGTTCATACTACTTATTTTTCTACTGGTAGCAATTTACAATGTGCTATGAAATACCAATACATACGTATTTTTATTTTTCCTACACATTATAGTAGTATTAATGACTTCTATAAAAATCTGTGGTGTTTGTGCAATAAACCCAAAGTGGGAATGACTGTAATCTTAGAGTAAGCCCCATTGGCCTCAGTCTTAATTCTGAATCATGGATATGCACAGGGGCGGCTCAATCCATTATGCAAAGTAAGCATTTGCGGTATAGTTGATTTTGCTCAGGGGCACTCTTGAGGGAAAATAGACCTTGACATATGCGAGTTGTAGTTACTGGGATGTATAGTTCACCTACAATCAAAGAGCATTCTGAACTCCACCAATGATGGAATTGAACCAAATATGGCACACAGAACTCCCTCGACGAACAGAAAATATATATCAGTGATTGGTTGGTTGGTTGGGGGGCGCCAAAATACTGTTTGCTTACCATTGAAAATTACCTAGGGCCGCCTCTGGATATGCAGGAACTGTAAACCTTACAGATTCTGGAAGTTGTTGTTTAAGAGATAAGATGTTAAAGCTCTGTATATGCCTGTGTATAAATAGGATCACATTGTTAATGTAAATATCATATAGTGGCTAAGGGCACTTATTCCCAAAGATGCTTGAAGCTGGTCATATTTAATTTCATTTGAAATTATATTGCTTTATTTTAAACTAGCCATCCCCTGCCACACGCTGCTGTGGCCTACATGGGGGTTCTGTGTGGGAGGTTTGGCCCAATTCTATCGTTGGTGGGGTTCAGAATGCTCTGTGATTGTAGGTGAACTATAAATCCCAGCAACTACAACTCCCAAATGTCAAGATTCTATTTTCCCCAAACTTCACCAGTGTTCACATATTGAGTATCCGTGTAGAATTTGGTCCAGATCCATCATTGTTTGAGTCCACAGTGAACTCTGGATGTAGGTGAACTACAACTCCCAAACTCAAGGTCAATGCCCACCAAACCCTTCTAGTGTTTTCTGTTGGTCATGGGAGTCCTGTATGCCATGTTTGGTTCAGTTCCATAATTGGTGGCGTTCAGAATACTCTTTGATTGTAGGTGAACTACAACTCCAAAACCAAAAGACACTGCCCACCAAACCCTTCCAGTATTTTCTGTTGGTCATGGGAGAACTGGGTGCCAAGTTTGGTTCAATTCCATCATTGGTGGGGTTCAGAATGCTCTTTGATTGTAGGTGAACTATAAATCCCAGCAACTACAACTCCCAAATGACAAAATCAATTTTTTGAGTGAAGGACATACATTGGGTTGTTAGGTGTCTTGTGCCCAAATTTGGTGTCAATTCGTCCAGTGGTTTTTGAGTTCTGTTAATCCCACAAACTAACATTACATTTTTATTTATATAGATGAATAATAATATTCAGAGTTGAATAAGGAAAGTTCAGTGTTTCTTTTTAATATTAAAAGACACTCCGAAATATAATGGAGGGTAGTTCTCTCTAACCTTGTTTGGGACAAGCAAGTGTTCTCTCAGTGAGTTCTAAAAACTAAAAAAAAAAAATTAAAAGGAGAGAATGTTTAAAACAGGGGTCCTCAAACTATGGCCCGTGGGCCACTTCCGGCCCGCCAAGGGCACTTATCCGGCCCGCGGAGGAGGAGCGCCCCCCCCCCACACACACAGTGCCCCTCCCTTGGCTGGCTCACACTGCCCATCGGGCCCGGATAGCGTGAGCAGCCAAGGACAGCTGCTCCGCGTGGCCTACTCACGCGTAAAGCACCTCGCGAGGTGCTTTACGCGTGAGTAGGCCGCGCGGGGCTGCTCCTCCCTTGGCAGGCTCATGACTATCTGTCAGGCCCAATGGGCAGCGTGAGCCAGCCAAGGGCAGCTGCTTCGCGTGGCCTACTCGTGCATAAAGCACCTCGCAAGGTGCTTTACGCACAAGTAGGCCGCGTGGCAGGCTCATGCTGCCTGTCAGGCCCAATGGGCAGCATGAGCCAGCCAAGGGAGGCTGCCCCAGCGCTCCATGCAGTCATGCCGGCCACATGACCTTGGAGGTGTCTACGGACAACGCCGGCTCTTCGACTTAGAAATGCAGATGAGCACCACGCCCCAGAGTCAGACACGACTGGACTTCATGTCAGAGGAAAACCTTTAACTAGGAAAATTGTGGAAGATCCAGGGTGGGAGAAAGAACTCTTGTCTGTTGGAGGTAGGTATGAATGTTTCAATTGGCCACCTTGATTACCATTTCATAGCCTGACAGTTTTTAGGGAGAATCCTTTGTTGAGAGGTGATTAGCTGGCCCTGATTGTTTCTTGTCTGGAGTTCCCCTGTGTTTGAGTGTTGTTCTTTATTTACAGTTATAATTTTAGAGGTTTTTTTTAATACTGGTAGCCAGATTTTGTTCAGACTAGAAATAGGAAGATTTCCCATTCTCTGCTCCTGGAATTACTGCCTAAAGAGGGCTAGAAAGAACCCCCTCTAAGGGCCCTTCCACACAGCAAAATAAGATATGTGCAATGTGCATAGGAATTTTTTATTGATTTTTTTTAAATAGTCCGGCCCTCCAACAGTGAACTGGCCCTCGGTTTAAAAAGTTTGAGGACCCCTGCTCTAGAACATGGCCATATAGCCTGAAAAAACCTACAACCCAACTAAAAAAAATTAAAATTAATATCACTGAAGTGTAACTTCAGCAGCAAGGAATTGTTTAAAAATTATGCTTCTTAAAGGGATTTTACTCTTTAGGAATTGTGAATTTCCATTCTTCATTTCCTGGTTCCTCCAAATCCCACTTGTATGCTTGCCAGTTTTTAGCTCTGCTTTAGATTGCAATATGTTTTGTCCTTTTTTCAACCAGCTTTTTGGTCTATTTTTCAAAATGAATATATTTTTGTTCACATTTAAGGTGCCTATTTCTATTGATGAAAGTGAGCCTGCTTGCATTTTCAGCTATGCACATTTCTGAATTTTATCTTTTCATCGAAAAACATGGCAAGCTTCAAGTATATTGATATAAAACAAGATGTTGCCTTGATTATCAGCTATAGTAGACATGGAATTGATATCTGTATACCCACTTAGAATCATAGAATCAAAGAGTTGGAAGAGACCTCATGGGCCATCCAGTCCAACCCCATTCTGCCAAGAAGCAGGAATATTGTATTCAAATCACCCCTGACAGATGGCCATCCAGCCTCTGTTTAAAAGCTTCCAAAGAAGGAGCCTCCACCACACTCTGGGGCAGAGAGTTCCACTGCTGAACGGCTCTCACAGTCAGGAAGTTCTTCCTAATGTTCAGATGGAATCTCCTCTTGTAGTTTGAAGCCATTGTTCCGCGTCCTAGTCTCCAAGGAAGGCAGAAAACAAGTTTGCTCCCTCCTCCCTGTGGCTTCCTCTCACATATTTATACATGGCTATCATATCTCCTCTCAGCCTTCTCTTCTTCAGTCTAAACATGCCCAGCTCCTTAAGCCGCTCCTCATAGGGCTTACTTTTCAATGTTATTTACTTGATTTCCAGCCTCTTTCCCCCCATTTTCCACTGTCAGAGATGTAATTTTTTCCCCTCCTGGAGCCAATCTCATTTTATTTCAAGGGCCACTTCTCTGGAGGATTTCCACATTAGGTTTGTATGCTCTTATATCTGTTTATTTCTGTCCAGGTCTTTCCGATGAGTTGATTGAAAAGGGCAAGGATGTGAAGAGCATTTCTGAAATCGAACAAGATGGCAATAAGTTCAAGATCACGGTTACAACTGGTGGTAAAGTGCTGGTTAATGAATTTACAATTGGAGAAGAGGCCGAGCTTACCATTCCAACAGGAGAGAAGATAAAGGTAGGCTACATGATTCGGATTAATTGTATAGCTTGGTTCTCAGAACAAGAAGTTATTCTTAGAGCAAGAATGCTCAGATGATAATAATAATAATAATAATAATAATAATAATAATAATAATAATAATAACAACAACAACACTTTATTTGTACCCCGCTACCAACTCCCCAAGGAACTCTGTGCGGCTTACGTGAGGCTGAGCCCAAACACAACAATACAAGCAATAATAACAACAATACAAGCAATTAAAAAACATAGACAATAAAACACACAACATTATCAATAAGACAACACACAATTGAAAACAGTGGGAAGGCCAAATGTAGAGTTAAAATTGGGAATAATGCTGGGACATGGACAAAAGTGATACTGGTGTTTGTGGAAGGGCATATGAGCAGACCTAAAGAAATGTAAAGTGCTTTGGAGGACAAAGTGCTATGGGATCATTATTCCGGGAAGGCACACTGGAACAGCCATGTCTTCAAGCTCCTCCTGAAGACTGCCAGAGTTGGGGCCTGTCTGATGTCTTTAGGGAGTGAGTTCCAGAGTTGAGGGGCCACCACCGAAAAGGCCCTCTTTCTCGTCCCCACCAATCGCGCCTGCAATGCTGGTGGGATCGAGAGCAGGGCCTCTCCGGATGATCGAAGGGATAGTGTGGGTTCGTATACAGAGATGCGGTCACGCAGGTAGGCGGGTCCCAAACCGTTCAGGGCTTTGAAGGTAAGAACCTGCACCTTGAATTGGGCCCGGTAGATGAATGGCAGCCAATGGGAGTTCCTTGAACAGGAGGGATGACTGCTCCCTGTAAGGAGCCCCAGTTAACAACCTCGCTGCCGCCCGTTGGATCATCTGAAATTTCTGGGCCGTTTTCAAAGGCAGCCCAACGTAGAGTGCATTGCAGTAATCCAGTCTAAAGGTGACTAAGGCGTGGACCACTTTGGCCAGATCCGCCTTCCCGAGGTACGGTCGCAGTTGGCGCACGAGTCTTAATTGCGCAAAGGCCCTCCTGGTCACCACCGACGCCTGAGCCTCAAACGCAAATCAGCCAACAATTGTAGCAACTGAATAAGATTTTCCCTACCAGTACATCTCCATGCAAATCAATACACTGGTCACATGAAAAGTCAAGTGTATCAGTAATTTAATCCCACTTCACTGCTGGTGACTAAATTGCACTGAACATCTTTAAAATAAAATACAAAAATGGGCTACAAAAAAAATCCAAAGGAGACATGTGCCCACATTTATCCACTATTCATGGTAGGACTAGCTTTGCACTCTGAAACTAAAGACCTCGTCATATGGAAGTTTTCCTGTTTCTACACACTTGGACGTGAACCCATCAAACAACACTCCATCTCTGCAGTGTGTAGGAATGGGAGAAGCTATCTCTTTTGTAGAGGGGTTAAGGCAAATGATTCCATGGAAAGTAGTGTTTCAAAAAGGAGGTCTGTTTTCTTTAGTATAGGGTCCTCAAACTCTTTAAACAGATTTATTTATTTATTTATTTATTTACAGCTTTTATATTCCGCCCTTCTCACCCCGCAGGGGACTCAGGGCGGATTACAGTGTATACATATATGGCAAACATTCAATGCCAATTTTTGACATACAAACATATACAGACATACACAGAGGCTATTTAACTTTTTTGGCCACCAGGGGAGCTGTCACTTTCATTGTCCATCTGCGATGCTGATGAAGCACTTCCGCATTCCCCGCATGCTTCCCCGCTGGAATGCTTTGCTGGAGTCTTCTTTATGGCCTCATAAATCAGTTAATTTAGCCTCTCCACACTTTAAGGTGGTACCTAATTTTCCTACTTGACAGATGCAACTGTCTTTCGGGTTGCAAAGGTCGACAACAGGCTACACAATTGGTTGGAAACCCACTCCAACCCGGGCTGGCTTCGAACTCATGACCTTTGGTCAGAGTGATCTTAATGCAGCTGACACTCAGCCAGCTGCGCCACAATCCCGGTGCGAGGGTCAGGTCACAGTCCCTCAAGCTTTTGGAGGGCCGGATTATAACTTGAAGGGGAAAAAAAATGAATGAATTCCTATACACACTGCACATATCTTATTTGTAGTGCAAAAACACTTTAAAACAATACAATAATTAAAAATGAAGAACAATTTTAGCAAATATAAACTTATTAGTATTTCAACAGGAAGTGTGGGCCTGCTTTTGGTTGATGAGATAGGGTTGTTGTTGTTGTTGTGGTGTACTTTCAAGTCATTTCAGATTTAGGTTGACCTTGAGTGAGGGCCAGGTAAATGACCTTGGAGGGCCGTATCCGGCCCCCGGGCCTTAGTTTGAGGACCTGGTATAGGGGTTTAAGGTGAACAAGTCATGGAAAATGGTGTTTCAAAAAGGATACTTGCTTTAAAAAGTGTGTTGGTATCCTTATTTATTTATGTATTTATTTACTTGACTTGTATACCGCCATTCTCAGCCCTAAGGCGACTCATAGTGGTTTACAACAGTCAAGCAAAAACAAGGCAAATAATCAAGGCAAAAATTCAATGCGGTATCAACAAGGTACTTAAAAACAGTTAACACAGAAGCAAGTTAAGCAATTTAACAATAATATACAATCAATCAATTGGCGTCTCATAACTAGAATCATGATTCAAACTCGTCAGACAATTTATCAGTAATATACATTCAAGTGGCGTCTCATAACTAGAATCATGATCCAAACTCGTCAGTCGTAGTTCCATTTCCTGAAAATTCATTGCACTTTTTATTCAAACGCCTGTTCGAATAACCAAGTCTTCACTCTTCTCCGGAATACCATCAATGAGGGAGCTAATCTGATGTCCGTGGGAAGGGCGTTCCACAGCCGAGGGGCCACCACCGAGAAGGCCCTGTCTCTCGTCCCCGCCAGCCGCGCCTGTGATGCAGGCGGGATCGAGAGCAGGGCCTCCCCGGAAGATCTCAAAGTCCTGGTGGGTTCATAGGTGGAGATGCGGTCGGATAGGTAACTTGGGCCAGAACCGTTTAGGGCTTTATAGGCCAATGCCAGCACCTTGAATTGAGCCCGGTAGCAAATTGGCAGCCAGTGGAGCTGGTACAACAAGGAGGCTGTATGCTCCCTGCGTCCCGCTCCTGTTAGTATCATGGCTGCCGCACGTTGGACCAGTTGGAGCTTCCGGGCCGTCTTCAAAGGCAACCCCACGTAGAGAGCGTTGCAGTAGTCTAAACGGGATGTAACCAGAGCGTGGACTACCGTGGCCAAGTCAGACTTCCCAAGGTACGGGCACAGCTGGCGCACGAGCCTAAGCTGTGCAAATGCTCCCCTGGTCACCGCCGAGACCTGGGGCTCCAGGCTCAGCGATGAGTCCAGGATCACACCCAAGCTGCGAACCTTGAAATGGTTGAGCTAGAAAGGGGAGGAGGTGATTCTATGTGATGATGATGTTTTTTTTATTTCTATTTTTTGTCGTGTCAGGAGTGATTCCTGGTGTGAGAGAATTGGCCGTCTGCAAGGACGTTGCCCAGGGGACGCCTGGATGATTTGATGTTTTTTTTAATCATCCTTGTGGGAGGCTTCTCTCATGTCCCCGCATGAGGAGCTGGAGCTGATAGAGGGAGCTCATCCGCCTCTCCCCGGATTTGAACCTGCGACCTGTCGGTCTTCAGTCCTGCCGGCACAGGGGTTTAACCCCCTGCGCCACCGGGGGCTCCTATGATGATGTTTATTCATTCAGTTGCTTCTCACTTCTCTGTGATACGGATGAGTAAATTCTCCAACTTCTCTAAAACGGGAACCCCATGAAAAACTATGCAAAGACTTTTCCACTCACTTTCCTCCCATATGGGATGAAGTCCTAGAAGAAGCTAAAATTTTACAGACAAGTGTAATAAAAGTGTGGAGGGTAGCTTGTATTTATAGGCTTTAAACCAGGGGTCCTCAAACTAATGCCCAAGGGCCGAATACGGCCCTCGAAGTTCATTTACCTGGCCCTCGCTCAGGGTCAGTCTAAGTCTGAAACAACTTGAAAGCACACAACAACAATAACAACAACAACAACTATCCTATCTCATCAGCCAAAAGCAGGCCCACACTTCCCATTGAACTATTAATACGTTCATATTTGTTAAAATTGTTCTTCATTTTAATTATTATGGAGCACCCGGTGGCACAGTGGGTTAAATCCCTGTGCCGGCAGGACTGAAGACCGACAGGTCGCAGGTTCGAATCCGGTGAGAGGCGGATGAGCTCCCTCTATCAACTGCAGCTCCTCATGCGGGGATATGAGAGAAGCCTCCCACAAGGATGATAGATAACATCAAAACATCCGGGCATCCCCTGGGCAACGTCCTTGCAGATGGCCAATTCTCTCACACCAGAAGCGACTTGCAGTTTCTCAAGTCTCAAGACAAAAAAAATTAATTATTGTATTGCTTTTAAGTGTTTTTTGTACTACAAATAAGATATGTGCAGTGTGCATAGGAATTAAAGTGTTGTTTTTTTTCAAATTATAATCTGGCCCTCCAACACTTTGAGGGACTGTGACCTGGCCATCTGTTTAAAAAGTTTGAGGACCCCTGCTTTAAACACACCCATTTCTCTCATTTTCTATCTCTCAGCCATATTAATATGTTTGCCCCATATCATATAGAAGTCTAATTTTTAATTCTTACACCCCATGTGGGAATTACTATTTTTTAAGTTTTTTTTACATGCAGACATTTGATCTGGGATACTTCACTTTCCTTCTCCCACAGGCTGTTGTCCACATGGAAGGAGACAATAAAATGGTGGCAAAGATGAAGGACATCACATCTGTAACTGAACTAAATGGAGACACCATCGTTAATGTAAGAACACTTTAAGTGGTTGGTCTTAACTATAGGTGACTTTCTGGGCCTTCACTGTGGTCTTCTATTACACAGCTTGAAAGGGGATGATGTCCCTGATGTACTCATGCTACAAACATAGAATCATAGAATCAAAGCGTTGGAAGAGACCTCATGGGCCATCCAGTCCTACCCCCTGCCAAGAAGCAGGAATATTGCATTCAAATCACCCCTGACAGATGGCCATCCAGCCTCTGTTTAAAAGCTTCCAAAGAAGGAGCCTCCACCACACTCCAGGGCAGAGAGTTCCACTACTGAACGGCTCTCACAGTCAGGAAGTCACTATTGCATGAATATGTACTTTACCTACCCTCAATATGTATAAAGCTGATTATTTATTTTCAAAATTAAAAAAGGGAAAGGAGGCAGATTGAGAAATTGTTGATTATCGTAATCAACTGATTTATTTATTTACTTTATTTGTATACTGCTCTTCTCAGTCCTTAGGCGACTCAGAGCGGTTTACAACAATTTAGGTATACACAATACAAAATCATTAAGCATTTAAAAGCAATAGCATCACAAATAATTAAACATCAATATCAATACATCACTACATCAATATAACAAATCCATCAGGTCTCATCAATGAAATCAGAATCCAAACTCATTATCCGATATTCCGTGTTCCGATAGTCAGTCAATCAATCACACTGCTTAGTCGAATGCCTGTTCAAACAGCCAGGTCTTTACTTTCCTCTGGAATGCCAGCAAGGAGGGGGTCGATCTAATATCTGCAGGAAGGGCGTTCCACAGCCAAGGGGCCACCACTGAGAAGACCCTGTCTCTCGTCCCCGCCAGGCGTGCTTGTGAAGCCGGCGGGATCGAGAGCAGGGCCTCCCCAGACGATCTTAATGTCCTGACTGGTTCATAGGAGGAGACGCGTTCGGACAGGTAGGTCGGGCCAGAACCGTTTAGATACTTGCTCTGGTATCTAATTTTGGTAAATCGAAGCACTTTACCATTAGTTTGTGTATAGTCCAATTAAATTAAGTAGAGATTTTCAAAACATAAATGAAACCCTTGAAACAGCCTAATTTATTCTCCTTTGGTTAATATTTCTTCGAGCCGTCTCATCGCCGAAGAGTTGATTGAATTTAAATTAGACTTACAGGTTGCCTCAGTGCACCTCTTCTCCGTGGTTCTTCTTAAGATTAAAAGTGAGCTGGGTTGGCAGTATATGCGGCCATTAGCCCGCTTCCCACTCCTCGATCCGCATTGCCTATGGCGCTCTTGCCGGGTCCTCTCTCGAACCTCTCCCTTGAGGAGAAAAGGGTCTTTGGGGCCGTCGGCGAGTGCCTTAGCGGCTTTGCGTCTTCGCTGGCCTCAGTCCGCACAGGAAGGGGGGCATAATACAGCCCTCTCAATCGATGGAGTAGTTGGTGCCCTCGGAGCTTCAGAGCACCCAGTCTGCTGCCATCCGTGCTCACCGGAAGTCCCCCTGAGAGAGAAATGGTTTTCAATCCATTTGAAGGCTGCCTTTTTTGTGTAGATTAATATCTTCACTATAAATTGTATGTATAAAGTAATCAGTTTTCTTAATAATAATAATAAATATAATAAACTTTATTTATACCCCGCCACCATCTCCCCAATGGGGACTCGGGCGGCTTACATGAGGCCAAGCCCGGACAACATATTACAGCAAGATAAAATCAAAATATAAGCAACAAGCAACAGCATTAAAATTACATTAAAAAAAACAAAAAAAGCATTACAGTAAACACAATCACAGTGACAGTGGGCGGGCCAAATGTGCAGGATAAAATGTTTAAAAAACTCGAATAAGATAAGAATAGGAGCAATTTGTTTTCAGAGAGCTCATAAAGAAACACAGGGTTGTGAAACCAAACTTCCCATTAGGGAGGCGTGTACTCCAGTGACAAAAGTGTTGAGAGATGCAGTAATGTCATGTTGTACACCTACTCGCATAAGGCGCAGCAGAAGAGCCGGGTTTTAAGGTTCTTTTTAAAGGTTTCTAGTGTAGAGGCTTTCCTGATCTCTCCAGGTAATGCGTTCCAATCTGTATGTTGATAGTATGGGAAGAGTTAATCATGACATGTACAGATGAAGCAAGAGAGAACCTTCCAAAAGAGAAGTGCTTAGCTACAACTTGAATAGACCCATCAAGTAAAAAAAAATCTTCTGATTTAACAAGAGTGTTTTGGTTAGGACTAACAATTGAAGTGATTGATTGGCATTTCCCCCAGATTCTATGTACGAGGGGTATTTTTTAAGTAAGGTCCATTTAAACATAAGTACACAACGAAAGTTTATTTCAAAAAAGTAAATTTATTTTCAGAAAGTACATACTTCACTCTATTTTTCGACATGGTTGCCAAGTTTGTTCAAACATTTATCATACCTCTGAACCAATTTTAAAATGCCCTCTTCGTAAAAACTTGCCGCCACCAAATCGTCTGTAATCAAAGAAGGGCGACCGGAGCGGTCCTCATCATGGACGTTGTCACGGCCATCTTTGAATTGTCGTACCCACTTACGCGCTTTGCTTTCACTCTTAACAGTATCACCGTACACTTCACAAATCTGTCGATGAATTTCTGCAGCAGGCAGGTTCCTTGCTGACAAAAACCATATCACTGAGCGAACCTCACATGCGGAGGGAGAGTTAATAGTCTTAAACATTTTTAAAGCACAGAACCGTACAGGTTAGCTACAGAGCACTGAGCACAGTTGTTCCCGAGGCATGCCGGTACACGACGCACGTGCTCGTTGTGGTATGTGCGCGAACTACAAGTGTCTACAACAAAACGGACCTTACTTAAAAAATACCCCTCGTATGTTCCAATTTATATTGGATTTTAAAGGATTTTTATCCACCACCTTTCATATCAGTAAGTCTGCAGACTTACAAAATTTGACCCACAGGCCTAAAACCATGAAGCTGTCACAAAGCATGTACTAACGTTATCAAATCATGCCATTTTTTGATATAACAAGACACCAACCTCAGGCAACACTGTGAGATGAGTGATTTTATAATCATTTCCCTAATGTGGCTAGTTAGTTTGGGACAGAGTCCACACTACCACCTTACAGACTTCATGGTTGAGAATAGATTATTGTCAATTGCCATCTAGATTTTGTCAATGCGGTGGTTTGTATTTTAAACATTCAACATTATTGTACTCTTTTTAAAAAAAATCTTGATATATCTGGTGCTCTTAAGTTTGAATGCTTTTCAGTATTATAGGAAGTATGTGAATATTTTCTTATTGTTTCCTTTTGGAATATAACCATATTGATGGTTTAATCTTTTGTGTCTTTCTAGATCTTGAGTGTGGGTGACATCCATTACAAGAGGATCAGTAAGAGAATCTAGACAACCTAGACATTTCTAAACTTTTACTGTGTAAAAGGGATAAAATAAAGAGCAATATGTTAAAATTAAAAGTCTTCTCGTCTATATAAATAAAAATGTTCGTTTGTGGGATTAATTAAAAGAACTCAAAAACCACTGGGGGAATTGACACCAAATTTAGACACAAGACACCTAACAACCCAATGTATGTCCTCCACTCAAAAATTTGATTTTGTCATTTGGGAGTTGTAGTTGCTGGGATTTATAGTTCACCTACAATCAAAGAGCATTCTGAACTCCACCAATGATGGAATTGAACCAAACTTGGCACACAGAACTCCCATGACCAACAGAAAATACTGGAAGGGTTTGGTGGGCATTGACCTTGAGTTTGCAAGTTGTAGTTCACCTACATCCAGAGAGCATTGTGGACTCAAACATGATGGATCTGGACCAAACTTGGCACAAATATTCCATATGCCAAAATATGAACACAAATGGAGTTTGTGGGGAAAAGACCTTGACATTTGGGAGTTGTAGTTACTGGGATTTATAGTTCACCTACAATCAAAGAGCATTCTGAACCCCACAAACGACAGAATTGGGGCAAACTTCCTACACAGAACCCCCATGACCAACAGAAAATACTTAAGGCCATCCAGTCCAACTCCCTTCACCAGGGCAAGAAAATGTAATCAAAGCCCTCCTGACAAAGAGCCATCCAGCCATAGATATAGATAGATATATATGACTCACACACATAGTAGCATAGATTTGAAAGGGACCCCTAAAGAAGAACAATTATATGTTGCATATTCCAGAGTAGGCAAACCAGTCACTCTCCACATCAACACTGACAAAGAAACAACAACAAATACTGTTTACCCACAAGCAGAAAGAAATTACATAGATTAGAAACCATTACTTTATTTTCCAGATCACCAGACTGGGCCACAGCAACTCGTGGCAGGGGACGGCTAGTTTGTAATATTTATTTTTTCTAAGTATATGAATATAATCATCCCTCCATATTTGCAGATTTGATTATTCTTGGATTTAATTTAAAATGTTATCTCTATGAATCTCTCAGTCCTGCAGTGGGGTTCTGTGGTTGGCTTCTTCCAATCTTGCTGGGAGACCTTGAGATTTCTAGGGAAAGCACCTCAGTAGGAATCTCTAGACCAGTGGTTCTCAACTTGTGAATCCCTAGGTGTTTTGGCCTACAACTCCCAGAAATCCCAGCCAGTTTATCAGCTTTCAGGATTTCTGGGAGTTGACGGCCAAAACATCTGGGGACCCACAGGTTGAGAACCACTGCTCTACATCAGTGGTTCCCAACCTTTGGTCTTCAAGATGTTGTTGATTTCAACTCCCAGAAATTAGCAGCTGTTGGGAATTGAAGGAATTGAAATCCAAAACATCTGGAGAAGCAATATCTAGGAACCACTGCTATAGATCCTTCAATATGATTCCATAGTCATCTTCGAATGGAAGTTGACCATAGAATCATGCTGGAAGAACTAGACATTCCTAGGGAGGTATTCTCTCAGGTTGAATCATAACCATTTCTTTATTCATGGTGTTTTATTTTCATGGGGATCTTGTGCCTCTATCCCCAGCAAATATGGAAGTTGACTGTATTCTCAGCAACTAGTTGGGCCAGTCTCACCACTGAAAACTTGTATAGGGCAGGTTTGCAGTATGTTTTACTGTATTTTATTTAGTGAATGAATTTAAAAATTAAATGTATATAAATAAAAATGTAATGTTCATTTGTGGGATTAACATAACTCAAAAATCACTGGACGAATTGACACCAAATTTGGACAGCATACACCTAACAACCCAATGTATGTCTTTCACTAAAAATTTGATTTTGGCATTTGGGAGTTGTAGTTGCTGGGATTTATAGTTAACCTACAATCCAAGAGCATTCTGAACTCCACCAATGATGGAATTGAACCAAACGTGGTACACAGGACACCCATGACCAACAGAAAACACTAAAAGGGTTTGGTGGTCATTGACCTTGAGTTTGGGAGTTGTAGTTCACCTACATCCTGAGAACACTGTGGACTCAAACAATGATGGATCTGGACCAAACTTGATACGAATATACCATATGCCCAAATATGAACATAGATGGAGTTTGGGGAAAATAGACCTTGACAATTGGGAGTTGTAGTTACTGGGATTTATAGTTCACCTACAATCAAAGAGCATTCTGAACCCCACCAAGGACAGAATTTGGCAAACTTCCCACACAGAACCTCCATGACCAACAGAAAATACTTAAGGCCATCCAGTCCAACTCCCTTCACCGGGGCAAGAAAACATAATCAAAGCCCTCCTGACAAAGAGCCATCCAGCCATAGATATATATTATTCACACACAGAGATATAGTATCATAAACTTGAAAGAGACCCCGAAAGAAGGATAATAATATATTGCATGTTCCATATTAGGCAAACCAGGCAATCTCTACATCAACACTGACAAAGAAACATCAAGAAGTACTGTTTATCCACAAGCATCAAGACATTGCATATATTCAAAGCCAACACTTTCTCATTACTTTATTTTTGAGATCACCAGACTGGGCCACAGCAATGTGTGGCAGGGAACAGCTAGTTATAAATAAAAATGTAATGTTCATTTGTGGGATTAACATAACTTGAAAATCACTGGACGAATTGGCACCAAACTTGGACACAACACACCTATGAGGCCAACAAGTGACCACTCATAAAACACTGAAAAACATAGCAGAAGGGACTTAAAAATCCAAAAACCAAAAAATACATTACAACGCATGCACAAAACCACATATATACACAAACACACATATATACACAAATACACAAACATATACACACAAAAAACACATATACACAGACTGGGCCACAGCAACGCATGGCAGGGGATGGGTAGTTTAAAATAAATTAAGTAAATCTCGCTTTTCTCTCAAGTGAAATCCAAGGCAGAAGTTGAGACATAGTAGGAAAGAGATTGTGCTCAACCAGTCATCTCCATTTAAAAATGTATAGCACGAACATATGTAGGAGAAGAGAAGGAGAGGACTGTTTTAAATATCTTGTTACTTAATTTGAGTCTTGCTATTGGAAGAAAGGCAGAATATAAATGAATAAAATAACAGTGATGTGCCAAGTTACAATCCCATGTTAGATGGGGACTGTGCTGCCACGCGCTGGGCCTGTAATAATTGGTTTTTTTAAAATAGGACATGCTCTTTGTGCCCAGCGAGGAGCCGGGGTGCCATGGGTGAGAGGCCTTCAAGGATTTTCCCATACAAAGTCTTTAGAAGGCTTGAAATGTTTAACAAAGTTCTTTATTATTGCTTAGGTCTTCAATAAAACAAACACTTCTTAGATCTTCAACAGATTGAACAAATGCTTCTTAACTTGCCCCAAAATGGGCAGGCACCTTGCTTGGAGAACTATTTCTTTCTTTAACAAGGAAAACCCTTTTTTAACCCCTCCCAGGCAATCTACTGTCTAAGCTTTGCTGATGTGGGTCCTACTACCGGTTCCAATCTGCATCTTGGGTCCCAAGTAGACCTACCAGTCAAGGCTATGTAGATTCTCCAGCTGGAGTTCTTTGGGTCTGTAAAACTGTTTTCTTCCGAAACTTTAGGACTGTTTCCCTCAGATGCTGTAAAGCTGAGAGGCTGTAAGCTCCCAGCCAGAGCTTTGGGACTGTTTTTCCCTGGAATTTCTGCCCCGGATGCTGTAGGAAATGAAGCTTTTCTACGGATGGAGCTAATCCATGTCCTGTAGCTTAGCTTTCCACTATAAGACTGAACTAAAAATGGCTCCCTCTCTTCCCATGGCCCTGGGGAAAGGGGCGGAACCAAAACTTAACAATGATAGACAGGTGGCTAGCCCTATGATTGCAAACCAAGGGAAGCCACCTTGTTGCAAATGCATGGAACCTTGGAATATATGCAAACACTCAATAGAAAGAAAATGAAGCTGAAGCTCCTGGTACAGCCATACCAGCACAGGGACCATTAGAATTGCAGACCAATACATTTGTATGCCATCACATTGGGTAAGGCAGGCATACACTGCAACAACTGCTATTTTTTGTAACCAGTTGTTTGCATGAATTAGCTGTATAATAATGAACTGAAATTCAACAGACAAAGCTTTTTCCATAATGGAAATAGACTGATGAAGCTTCACCAGCCAAATTTCCAGTTGCCGTGTAACTGTTGACACACAGAAGCAGCACAAAGCAAGGCTAGATTGCACTGAAAGTGGTTGACCATGCATTTTCTCAGTTCGAGCAGTAAGCCATGATCACACGTCGCAGTATAAACAACAAGGCAGAATGTTTTCCATTGTGTTCACTTTCTAGTCGGCTCTGGGTTTTGTTTGAAAAGCAAGTAATATTACTCAATTTATTTACATAAACAAGTCTCCAACCCAAGAGTCAAATTCTAGCATGCAAGCCAAGTGTGGCATTTTCAGACTGAGAAAAATTACAGTATACTTCCAAATACAAATGTCCATTAGTGTTTGATTTTACTTTCCTTAGTTTCCTAGTCTTTCTTTTTTTAAAAATAATTATACAATCCCTTCCAAATATTAAAAGCACCCTTTATGCTCTTGTGAGGGTAAGAATCATGTAGTCCTCCAGCTGTTGTTGGATTGCTACTAGCAACCCTAGCTAATATACCGTATATACTCGAGTATAAGCAGACCGAATATAAACCTGTGTTCCGTCTCCCAGGAGTCTGGTTTACATTACCTTTTTAGTTGCTTAGAGTGTCTTCCCCTTGCATTTCTCTCAGGGCTGCTGCAGCTTTGCAAAGCCCTAAAAGGTTAGCAGTATCAGAGTCTGCAAAGCCAGCCTGCAGGCCTCTTGGCCTAGAATCATAGAATCAAAGAGTTGGAAGAGACCTCATGGGCCATCCAGTCCAACCCCATTCTGCCAAGAAGCAGGAATATTGCATTCAAATCACCCCCTGACAGATGGCCATCCAGCCTCTGTTTAAAAGCTTCCAAAGAAGGAGCCTCCACCACACTCTGGGGCAGAGAGTTCCACTGCTGAACAGCTCTCACAGTCACGAAGTTCTTCCTAATGTTCAGATGGAATCTCCTTTCTTGTAGTTTGAAGCCATTGTTCCGCGTCGTAGTCTCCAGCAAGGAAAACAAGCTTGCTCCCTCCTCCCTGTGGCTTCCTCTCACATATTTATACATGGCTATCATATCTCCTCTCAGCCTTCTCTTCTTCGGGCTAACATGCCCAGCTCCTTAAGCCGCTCCTCATAGGGCTTGTTCTCCAGAGCCTTGATCATTTTAGTTGCCCTCCTCTGGACACATTCCAGCTTGTCAATATCTCTCTTGAATTGTGGTGCCCAGAATTGGACACAATATTCCAGGTGTGGTCTAACCAAAGCAGAATAGAGGGGTAGGATTACTTCCCTAGATCTAGACACTATGCTCCTATTGATGCAGGCCAAAATCCCATTGGCTTTTTTTGCCGCCACATCACATTGTTGGCTCATGTTTAACTTGTTGTCCACGAGGACTCCAAGATCTTTTTCACACGTACTGCTCTCGAGCCAGGCATTCTCCCCCATTCTGTATCTTTGCATTTCGTTTTTCCTGCCAAAGTGGAGTATCTTGCATTTGTCACTGTTGAACTTCATTTTGTTAGTTTTGGCCCATCTCTCTAATCTGTCAAGATCGTTTTGAATTCTGCTCCTGTCCTCTGGAGTATTGGCCCTCCCTCCCAATTTGGTGTCATCTGCAAACTTGATGATCATGCCTTCTAGCCCTTCATCTAAGTCATTAATAAAGAGAGCAGCTCTTTGGGTTTAGAGCCCGCCCTTTCTCCCAGGGAAGGGATCTCCATTTTAGAATCTCCCCTGCAGTTTAGAGGAAAGACTTCAGACATGCTGATGGTTAGGCAGGTAGCTCTGGGAAAACCATTGCAAAAACTACATTATAGATAAGTATTAAGCTATATTGAGTTAATATAGATAGTATATTGTGTATTGAGCTAAATTGAGATATCATAGATAGATAAGCTTAATTGAGAAGATTGAGTTTTATAGTTATAGAGAGAGAGTCTTTACTGCTTTGTCTCCAGAACTAACCTTAAGTTATAGATAGGGGAAAAACTTGCTTTTTTCTAACCACAATGGCTTAGGGTTAGGGTGTAAAGATTCCAGGATCTTATCTGCCATCTGGAGAAAAAGTTACCTCTGTAACTAAAGAAAAGAAAGAATATCTCTGTAGTTTCATCTATTGACTGTTTGTTTGCAACTTTGATGAACTGTGCCAAGTCTTCAAGGACTTTGTATAAATAAATATCCTTTTTTGATGTTTAAAACCAGTAATAGTCTCAGTTGCTGAGTATCTCAAGCTTCTCAAGAAAGACACTTGCAGTTCACTCAGACATAGAGAGAAGCACGTTGCAGTTTTATTTTTTATATCGTCTG